TGATGAAAGGTTATTTGGAAAACGTTGTATTTTTGATTTAGTTTCCTAAAACGATCCTGAACTAGGACTTATATATTATATTTGTTAATATATATATATTTATATTTTATTTATTTTTTATTAATTTATTTTTGAATTTTATTTTTAAGTTGATTTTTAAATGATGAGGAAAAATATCTGTTGAAATAACTAGCACAAACATTTGTTACTATGAAACCTTCTTTTCAAGAAAAAACAACAATTTTATTTAAAATTAGTGTGAATAATAATTGAAGACTTTCTTTATGTAAAAAATTTTTCCAATAAAAAAGAATCAAATTGTGGAAAATTATGATATTAATTTATATATGTTATTATAATATAAAATATAAAATTAGATAAATATATGATATATATAGTCATTGCATATTTTTTAACTTTGCATTTTTATAATTTTATTTTAAATGTGTCGTATTAAAATGATTATATTTTGAAGTTCTTGAAAATCAGCCTTTGTTTGACGAAAAAAATCAAAGTAACACTTTGTAAAAAAAATTTAAAATATATAAATGTAAAAAAATATTATTCAAATAGAGTGAAGAACTTTGTTTAGTTCAATAACTGTTTGTTTTTTTATAAGAAATGATGTGTATAGTTTAAAAGATTAAAAATTTATGTGTTTATATATTAATGAAATAATTTCAATAATTTTTAATTTTTTGTAAATTTATAAAACATTTTGATCTTTTTAGGTGTTTCGAACAGATTTTATGTTTTTTATTTTTTAATAATATTTTTGTTTGATATTTAAAATATATTCAGTTTTGAATGTTTCGTAAAATTTCTGTTTAAGTTTTTAGACAGAAAATGTTTTTGTCAAAAATTTATATAACTGATTGTTTTTATTGGTAAATATTTAAAAAAGTCTATATTTATTCATTTATCTCCTCAATTTCTTTTTTTTAAAGATCTATAATTACTATATATATTAATGATTAATATAATATAATATATATTAGATATGTCTATATTTAAATTGTAATTTAATAAATTTAGATTTTATAATATATGTTATTTTAATTTTTTCTTAAAGATATAATTATTACTATTTAATGTGCAGATAGATTTATTCATATAAATATTATAACCATTTTTTTTTTTTTATATCGAGGACATATGTATATAAAATGACATATATGATTATATTTTTTAATGAATCTTTTGTTATTTGATTTTATTGATTCTGTAAAATATATAAAAACTCATCAAATGTTTTAAAAAAAAACTATAATTCATATTGGCTTTTATATAAATTTTTTTTTTATTTGTTGTATTAATTAAATATATATATATATATATATATATATATATATATATATATATATTTATATATATATAGATATATATATTAAATAATATATATATATGCACTGCAAAATATGGATTTCTTTGTTGAATGTCATTTTAAATTTTTGGTGTTTATTTGTAATAATAAATTCGAAAATTCTCCATTCATCTTCCTTTCAGTCTGATCATATTATTATACAATACAAGTTTTTCCAGATTCATACTCGAAATTAAATCAAAAAATGGTTAAACATAAATTTCTTTTTCAACAGGACTTTATTTCTCATATAAAAAAAGGAATTTTCAACTTTAGACAATTGTTGCGAAAAATCAAATTATCCTAATCAATAACTGCCCAATTGTCTATCATCTATATATCTATCTATATATTATATATATATATATATATATAATATATATATATAAAAATATAACCATATTTTTTTATAAAAAATTTATATTCCATAAAAATGTTATAAAAATCAATTAAACCAAAGTTATTTTTTTTAAATAAATTATTAATATATTAAATATATTTTGAAAATGAGATAATCAATGGTTTTTAAAAAAGTAAAAATTTAATTAACAATCCTAGACTAAATAATTTATTACAAAAGCTTAATATATATAATTAAAAATTATATTATATTTAGATTGAAAAATTTCAAATTTTCATAAAAAAATATAAATAAACTACATATCTTTTCATAACTATAGATATATATATATATATATATATATATATATATATATATATAAATATATATAATAATTAAATTTACAATATTTCCAATAAAATGTAATTATATTCTAAATATATATATATATATATATATATATATATATATAATTATTATTTATAAAAAAATTATAACATAAGTATGTTATAAAATCACTACAAAAATAGCCATTTTGTTTCAACACACTCTGTGTCTTATCAAGTGATGATGTTGAAAATAAAATAAATGGTTTTAAAAGTTTCAGATTAATTAACGATCCTACACTAGGGGGAAACATTGTTACAAAAGCTAGAATAACCAATCAAAAACCAAGTATAGAAAGATTCAAAAGCTTGACAACGAAATCATGTTATAATAGCTATTCAGATCTTTAAAATACGTGTAATATTAAAAAATAATTTATACTAACCAATAATTATAAAATTATATGATAAAATTTAATATTAAAATTAAAAACTGGCAATTTTAAAATCCAAATTTAATCACTATTAAGTTTAAAAACTACAAAATTATTGAGAAAAGAAAAAATATATATGTTTATTCAATTCATTTCTTCATTGAAATTACGTTCGACAAGACGCTACAATATATCCGGTCATTGACAATACATTATATATTGAGCAATTTTTTAAGAATAGTAATTTTTTGGTTATTGGAATTCATTCCGTATATACCAATTATATATATATATATATATATATATATATATATATATTATAACGCTGTCGGAAATCTTTAGGTTGAGCACTGTTGAGAGATGGGAGAGTTCTATAAACAGCAGCTGTCAGCGGTAACACATGTCTCTTCATTAATGAAAAGAGCATTCTGGTTTTCTGGTTTTTGTTTACATTGATAAAAACAATACGCTAGAATTCGTCCTTCTTTCTGTCGAACCGCCCATGGCTTAATGGTTGACCCTCCGTTTGCCACCAAATCGGTCGGGTTTCTATCCTTGTATGAATTATTTGATTGTTTAGTCGTACTGTTTAGCTGTGATTCAGTCTTGTATGATAGCGACGCATATATATTCTTGCCTTTTGCGTGCTATTGTCATCAGTACTGCACCCGTCAAATTGCTAATAACTCACTTCTTTTTTGTGCTCATTTTTTTTTTTATATCCATGCCTTTATATTGTTTTTGATATTTTGTTTGTATTTTTCTAAAATGGCCGACGGTTACCTGAGAAGAGGTGAACTGCTTATCACGCAAAATCATCTCTCGTGGAAAGCGTATCAGTTTCATTTTGGAGAGCAGGTGGAGTTTGGATGGATGTGTGGGTGGTGGCCGTCAAGGACGCTCGACATAAATATGGAAAAGTAAATTAGCGAGCGAGCAAGCGAACGTCCGCATCAACTATTGATGGCTTTCGATCGAACTGAAAGAGATCGATTAAAGGCACGGGGCGATGTTCATAAAAATCAGGTTTTGGATTAAAAAACAAAAAAACAAAAAAAAAAACAGAAAAAAAGAGTAATGGTGGAATAATGCTGGCGTAATGATTGAGGAATTGGAGAGCCGAGTTTGAATTCCAGTCGAGTTATTTACATTTAATACGATAATGAATCATCTCTTCATCTAAGCTATTTATGAAATAGTCGGATAGATGGCGTCCTATTGCTCTGGGTGGCAACCAGTCTATACAAAGTGTTGTCGTACGGACGATAATGGGTATGTCCCCATTCAAATAAGTACATTAGTAAATACTGAATGTTGGTCGGCAGTCGGAGATTCCTCTCCGGCTGTGCTGGAAAAAATCTCTGCTTCCGGACTAGAGGATCCCCAGACGATGCTATGTCGAAAGGAAGGGTCTAGTCTCGGGGAACCAGCTGCTCGACACCGTTTTATACGGGATCTACAGGAATTTTTTTGGCAGAGCTTATACACTTGGATTTCCTACATTAAATTCGGCCTTGTGCCACATCTGTCCGCGTGGTGCGGTTGGTAGATATCCTGCAGTTGGAGGTTCATCTCTAGCTGTGTTGGTCAAACTCTCTGCCTCCGGGTAGAGAGGACCCTCAGACGAGGCTATGTCGAAGGGCAGAATCTCGTCTACATTTAATTCGGCTTTGTGCCACATATGACCGCGTGGGGTGGTTGGTATGTACCGTCTGCAGTTGAAGATTCATTGTGGAATGCACCTGACTGACTTCTAGCAGTTGACTACTTCGACACGCCGCTAGCGAATCTTATACGTGTTGTTCGTGTCCTAAGTATTATCGTTCATTACCAACCTTCGTGTGATTATTCTATTTAATAACCTTCCCTGGGTTACAACAGAAATGAAACTCTGAATTCAAACCACTTTGTGGGTTCTATCTTTCAGCAAATTCTTCAAAAACAAATCCAGTGACGGAATAACTTCAATATCCCCTGGTGCGAAAAAAAAGTCTTTCTTTCTCTGTATTGTGCTCTCCTATTTTGTTAAGGCTCATTTCTCTATTCTAGCTCTCCCTTCTTATTTTAACGAACATTCTTTGAATTTTCTCCTTTATTTCTTCCTTTATTTTTCTTTCTCTCCTCCAATTTCACTTTATTTCTACTTCAAATTAGAGATAATGCCATTGAGAAAGGGAATAAGAGTGTGTGTTAACCCTTCGAGACCAGCGTTCCTGAATAGATTTAACCCTTTCTGTCTGAGCTTCTGAGTCAAAATCCGCAAATAATTAGTATGCAACGTTTCCCGGTAAATATAATTTACAATTGTTTACCCGCCGGCATTAAGTCTTTTTCCTTTACAAAGAGTTAATCGATATGTACATATAAACGGTAGATATAAACATATTTACAAGTGTTTGTCCACCTTTCAACTGGTGGCTGGGCATTAAGTCATTTACTTCTACTACTGTTCAACTGGTGGTTGGGCATTACGTCATTTTTCTCTACCACCGGTAAAGCGGTGGTCAGGTTTCAAAGGGTTAAAGAACGAATCTCACATATGACAGGACGGATTAAAGAAAGAGAGTTGGAGTGAGATAAAGGTAGAATACGACATGAATGTAGAGGGAGAGCATGTATGCGACAATTGGAGAGTAAGGTGAGAGTCAAAGAGGGAAAGATCGAAAAACAAGGAAACAGGTAACAAAGAAATCGAGGAGAAAACTATTAATAAGAAAAAGAATAATTGATAAGTGCGGGGCGGGGGGTATACTATACCAGTTGACGAATCATAGAAAGAGAGTGAAGGAGAAACAGAGGGAGAGTAAGATATGAAAAGAGAGAGGAAATGTATGGGTACATTAGAGAGTAAGGTTAGAGCTGATAAGATTGAAAGGAAAAAGAAAGAGGAGAGAAAAACAGAAATAAGTATGGGAATATGGATAAAGGGAAGGAAGGAGACATATGCATAAGGGAGAAGAAGGAAAAAACTATGCGACGAAAGAAGAAAAGGCGAGAAGGTGGAGGAGGAGAAGAAGAAGAAGAGAGCTATAAGATAAAAGTAGAAGTGGAGGAGGAGGAGAAGAATCACACGAAGGTTGGTTATGAACGATAATTTATCCATCGCACCCTGTATATTTGTTAAAACGAGATGTCAGTGTTATTTTCATTTTGGCGCCATTTAGACGACAATTTATCCATCGCACCCTGTATATCTGCCAAAATGAGACGTCAGTGATATTTTCATTTTTGCGTTATCGAGACGACAATTTATCCATCACATCCCGTATATCTGTTAAAATGAGATGTCAGTGTTATTTTCATTTTTTCGAGGGAAACTGAGAGAGAGAGGGGGTGAGAGAGAAAAGTGGGAGTGAATTAAAGAAAATAAGAAACAGTTCATTTCGAAGGCATATTAAAGAGAAAAAAGGCTTTTGAAATAACAATTTGAGAGAGAGAGAGAGAGAGAGAGAGAGAACCCAGTTATGGTTATCAGACAATATCTGCGACCACTTCACTCATTACATCTGGCCACCTAACTCCACAGACTTGTAACAACCTTGATTATTATTTATTGGGCGCAAATGTGCGAGAGACCAACAAAACACCTTGTAACGCCAAAGATGAACTGAAGGCAAAGATTATGGCAACATATACGAACTTAAACAAGGAGACCGTCCCGAAGAGTTGGAGGAGATTTCGAAGTCGTCTGGAGGCTGTGGTTGAAGCCAATGGTGATTTTATTGAATAAATTTACTCTTTCTTATTTCCTGATATGTTTATGTAATTTTGGTAAAAATATCTATTAAAATGTGATGTCAGTGATATTTTCATTTTTGCGTCATCGAGACGACAATCCATATCCATATCTGTTAAAATTTAGACGTCATTGTTATTTTCATTGCTGCGTCATTTGTTAAAATTTATCCGTCAGTGTTATTTGTTATTTTATATGTCATCTTTCAGACGATCCAATATTATCCATTTTTATGTTATCATCCATCATATCTGTATATCTTTAAATTAGATGTCAGTGTTATTTTCATTTTTGAAAACTGAGATTTTTAGGACAAAAGGATTTAATTAAAGATCGTATGCCGTATATGTTAAAAAACAGATGTCAAGAGAAGAAATTATTTTTATCATTTTCATAAATCTAACCTTTAGACGATTGAAATTATTTATCCATCGCCAACAAAACACCTTTTAACGCCAAAAGATGAACTGATTTATGTCAAAATGAGACGTCAGTTGGATTTTCATCTTTTGGTTGAAGATAATGTGATTTTAAATAAATTTACTCTTTCTTATTTCCTGATATGTTTATTAATTTTGAAAAATATCTATCCATCGTGTTACCATTTTGTATATTTATCCATCGCAATCCTGTATATCTGTTAAAATTAGACGTCAGTGTTATTTTCATTTTTGCGCATCTAGACGACCCATCGCAATCCAGGCCATATGTGACATTTGCAATAAATCTATCGTATGCCGTAAAAAAATTAGACGAAAGAGTTATTTCCATTTTGGTCATTTAAAAGGATCCATCGCAAAAATGAAACGAAATTTCATTTTTGCGTCATCTGGACGAACCATCGCGAAAAAAAAAAAAAAAAGAAAAGAGACCAGATCAGAGAGGAAGATATAAAAATGGACAAAAATCAAAGAGAAAATGAAAGAAATCATTTCAAGAACGAGCCAGATCAATATATTTTTGGACAAGAGACGAAATTAGAGGAAAAGAAGAAAAATTCAGTTTATCTTCATGAGACCCTCGACTGCTGCAATCGTCGTTCGGTGTTGGGAGCACGAGGACAGAAGAAATCGACAGGTTCTTCTTCCTCGGAATATTTTCAGATAGCGTGACAGTGCCCATCTCCTCCCCAAGCTTTTGACCGACAGCTGAAGACAATCGAACATCTTGTAGGTCATCCGCAGCCTGTAAACTCTCAGGTTTTTAATTCAAAATTCTTATTCTAGATCGGTTGCCACCCATGGCTATAGAACCCAGTCTGTTCAGCTATATCAGAATTTTCCTTCTCCTAGAGCGGTTGCCAACCAAGGCTATAGAACCCCGTCTGTTCAGACATATCAGAATTGTCCTTCTCTTCGATCGGTTGCTACCCATGGCTATAGATCCCAGTCTGTTCAGCTATATCAGAATTTTCCTTCTCCTAGATAGGATGCCAACCAAGGCTATAGAACCCCGTCTGTTCAGCTATATCAGAATTGTCCTTCTCCTAGATCGGTTGCCAACCAAGGCTATAGAATTCAGTCTGTCCAGCTATTTCAGAATTTTCCTTCTCCTAGATCGGTTGCCACTATAGAATCCAGTCTCTCCATTTCTTTGCCCATAGCTAGGGAGAGAAGAGATAGGTTCATATATTTTCCAGGGATATTAAGTGAATGCGATGAACTCGACTGGAGTTTGAACTCGGCTCTCCAATTTCCCAACCCCAGCCTATAGCCATTACTCTACCGTAACTGCAGTGTATACACAACAGAGAGACTGATGGGGGGGGTAAAGCTTGACGCAGAGAATGATAAGACGATGGATTAAATCGAAAGAAAAAAAAAGGTAAACAGAAAAGGAAGGTAAAGAGAAAATAGGGAGGGAGCGTGAGTTTGATTGAAATCTGATAACTGTATTTATGAGAGTAAGAAGATTTACGGGATAGGATGATGGAAAGAGACGGCGACGCTGGTGGCGCACCCGTTGTGGTTTCAGCGGTGGTGGTGGTGGTCGTGGGGGGAGGGGGTCTTTACTGACGGTAATAAAATGTGATAACAAAAAAAATCCCAAAAGAAAGGAACACCCTGAAGAATGCTGTCATCAGCGACGAGAGTAAATCGCCAATAAAACTGACAAGAAGGATAACAAAAATCAAAGATAGCGAAAAGAAGAAGAGGAGGAGGAGAAGAAGGAGGGGGAATAATAATAATAATAATAATAAGAGAGAGACAGGTGACGAAAGGAGGAGTAGAAGGACGAGGAAAAAGAAGTAAAGAGATCTGCGGTGAAAGAAGAAAAAGAGGAGAATGAAAAGGGAGATGAAGAAAAGAACTATGTGACGAAAAAAGAAAAGAGGGAGAAGAAGAAGAAGAAGAAGAAGAAGAAGAAGAAGAAGAAGAAGTGGAGAAGGAGGAGGAGGAGAACAAGAGAGCTATACGACGAAAGAAGAAGAAAAAGAAGAAGAGAGCTATAAGACAAAAGAAGTAGTGGAGAGGGGAAGTGAGAATAATAATAATAATAAGAGAGACATGAGGAAAAATGAGGAGAAGGACGAGGAAGAAGAAGTAAAGAGATCTGCGGGGAAAGAAGAAAAGGAGGAGAAGGGGAGGAGAAGAAGAGAGCTATAAGATAAAAGTAGAAGTGGTGGAGGAGGAGGAGAAGAAGAAAGAATAAAAGACGAAAAGAAGAAGAAGAAGAAAAGGAGGAGGAGAAGAAGAAGAAGAGAGAAGAAGAAGAAGAAGAGAAAGAAGAAGAAGAAGAAGAAGGAAAGAGGAATAGGAAAAGAAGGAAAGAAGAGAGAAAAAAATAAAGAAGAAAGAAGGAAAAGGAGGAGGATTTTCAGAAGAGAGCTAAAAACGAAAGAAGAAGAAGAAGAAGAAGAAGAAGAAGAAGAAGAAGAAGAAGAAGAAGAAGAAGAGCTATAAGACAAAAGATGTAGTGGAGGAGGGAAGTGAGAATAATAATAATAAGAGAGACATGCGACGAAATGAGGAGTAGAAGGACGAGGAAGAAGAAGTAAAGGGATCTGCAGGGAAAGAAGAAAAGGAGGAGAAGGGGGAGAAGAAGAAAAAAATAAGATTAAAAAAGTGGGAAAGGAGGAGGAGGAATTTAAGAGAAAACGAAACGAAAGAAGGAGGAGGAGGAGAAAAAAATGAAAGATTGAAAAAGAAGGTGGAGGAGGAGGACTATATATGATATTTTAATCAAAGAAGAAGAAGAAGTGGTGAGGATAAATTAATATAAGAAGACAAAAATGAAATAAGAAGAATTATTTAAAATTAAAAGGAAGAGGAGAGAGATTATATAACCAAACATTTTAAGAAGTGGAAATGGAGGAGAAGAAGAAAAAGCTTAAAAAAAGAAAAAATAAAAAGAAGAAGAAGAAGAGAGAAATAAAAATTTAGAAGTAGTGGAGGATGAAAATTTTTTTTTAATAATTAAGAAGAAGAGATTTCATGCGACGAAATGAGGAATAGAATGACGAGGAAAAAGAAGTAAAGAGATCTGAGGGGAAAGAAGAAAAGGAGGAGAAGGAGAAGGGAGAAGAAGGAAAGAACTATTTGACGGAAGAAAAAAAGACGGAGAAAGGGGAGGAGGAGAAGAAGAGAGCTATAAGATAAAAGAAGAAGTGGAGGAGGAGGAAAAGAAGTGAGCTAAGGACAAAGACGAAAGAGGAAGAGAAGAAGAAGAAGAAGAAGAAGAAGAAGAAAAGGTCAAGAGGATGAGAAGAACAAAAAAGAAGAAGAAATGGAAAAAGGAGGAGAAGAAGAAAGTTTTTGAAACGAAAAGAAAAAAGAAGAAGAAGAAGAAGAAGAAGAAGAAGAAGATCAATTAAATTTGGGCGATCAAAAATCAGATAAAAATGGCTGAACTCCTTCAAAGCATCAATATTTATGTATTCAGATATCCTTCACAAGCTGTGGAATGGTCATATTAATATTAACCGTTTCCTAATAAGGCAACATTCGGAATTTATTGACCAAACATCAAATACCTCTGTCGGGTACTTCTTTTTCGGAAATTTTATTTAAAGTCTATTATCTGTTATGACTCTTTCCAGTAGTGCTGGGAGTTTCCTTCCTAACCTTTTGTTTGAAGTTGTGTGGAACGACAACATCTTGATTATGTTCTTATTTTCTCTTTACGTTACATGTGCGGTCCATTTTAGCTGTTGCTAATGTTGGAAGTCTTTAAGTGATACGGTTTCTGTTAATTACAGTCGTGATTCTATAACGCCAGTCTACAAGTTTCAAAGGCGGCTGATTCTTTCCATGAATTTGAATCACCGAATCGACATACCAGTCAGTTAATGGCTATTCTTACGATGACTACGATCGAAGGAAGAAGACACACTACTGATGATTGTATTCAGTCATTTAAATTGAGATTCACAAACTCAGCAAACGGCGAAGATAAAGAAACAT